GGGTCTCACCGGGGAATTGGGTTGGAGGGTGCTCTGGAGGTGCGCATCAATGACGCGTCCCACCTCCTCCCCGCCTGCAGAAATCGAGATGCTGGTGGATGACCCCCGGGAGCTGGAGCAGGCTGGCGAGATGGAGGTGAGCCCTGACATGTGCGTCTACATCACGGAGGACATGCTGCTGTCGCGCAAGTTCAACGGGCACTCGGGTAAGGTGGCAGCTGCTTTTATTTCCAGTACCCCAATGCCAGTCAACGAGTGTTCAACAGAGCACAGTTATTCCGAGGTGTCCATTTGGGATGCCAGGAAAAGCCGTTCACACAGCAGGTCGAAGGAGAGATGGGGTAAATTTGGTGAAGCTGTAAAAAGAAGGGGTTGCCAGGGAAAGGTACAGGTTGTACTCGGAGCAGGTCTGATGCTCCGTGCAGCTGCCCTGTGCCATGGGGGTGTGTGCCCAGGCACGCCGGGTTATTTGGAGGTACCAGGAGCTGCCCGCAGGTTTCGGTGATGTTCTCAATTGCTGGCCCTGGCTCTCGTTTTCATAACAGTAGAATCACAGAATGGTTTAGGTTGGAAAAGACCTTTAAGATCATCCAGTCCAACCATTAACCTAACACTGCCAACTCCACCACTAAACCAATTAAGGGGAGAGGAATAATTAATTTCATATTTCCTGGCTTGGTGGCTGGATTACTTTTTAATGAAAGTAAAAACTAGGAATCACTAAGGTTGGAAAGGATCTCTAAGATCATCAGCCCAACCATCAACCCAACACCCCCATGCCCACTAAACCATGTCCCAAAGTGCCACCTCTGCCCGTTTTTTGAACCCCTCCAGGGATGGGGACCCCACCACCTCTCTGGGCAGCCTGTTCCAATGCTTGACTACCCTTTCTGTGAAGAAATTTCTCCTAATATCCAATCTAAATCACCCCTAATGTAAATTAAAGCTGTTTCCTCTTGTCTTGTTACTTGGGAGAAGAGACCGACCCCCCCTCCCTGCCCCCTCCTGTCAGGAGCTGCAGAGAGCGATGAGGTCTCCCCTCAGCCTCCTCTTCTCCAGGCTGAACACCCCCAGCTCCCTCAGCCGCTCCCCACCAGCCCTGTGCTCCAGACCCTGCCCCAGCTGCGCTGCCCTTCTCTGGACACGCCCCAGCACCCCAATGTCCTTCTTGTGCTGAGGGGCCCAAACCAATCCCTCGCTTGGTCCCATGAGCACGGGTGCTGTTATCACACCTGTGAGCCTGGCTTCTCCAGAGCTGTGCCTGCGCCCAGAGAGTCACCCGGCATTTCCAGCTCCGTGCTGGGTGCTACTGGGATGTCTCCAGGGCACCAGGCTCCCTGAGGATGGCTTTGGATGCTGTTTTGGTGCCAATTTGGGATGCTTTGTAGGTAAAGCCGTTTGCAAGCAGAGCCATCGGCGCCCCGTTGAGCTGAGGGTGCCTTTGCCCCAAAGGAAGGGCAAGCTCCCCAGGGGAGCTGAAAAGCCTCAAAATAACCTTCGCGCCCTCCTCTTCCTCTCTCCCCCATGCAGGGCTAATCGTGAAAGAGATCAGCTCCTCTACCTCCAGCTCCTCAGAGACGGTGGTGAAGCTGCGGGGGCAGAGCACCGACTCCTTACCCCAGGTACGTGGTGCTGCTGGAGCTTTGGTGAAACCCAAAGCCCTGCTGGCACCGGGAGTTTGGGTTTCCCCGGTCTCCTCGGCTCCCCGGCAGGTTCTGAGCCCCTTCCCTGCTTTGCCCAGACGACGTGTAGGAAACCGAAGACGTCGACGGACCGGCACAGCCTGAGCCTGGATGACATTCGGCTCTACCAGAAGGACTTCTTGCAGTTGGCCAACCTCTGCCAGGATACGGCCCAGAGCTACACCTTCGGCTGCGCCCATGGGCTGGAGGAGGAAGGGCTCTACTGCAACGGCTGCTTGGCCCAGCAGTGCATCAACATCCAGGAGACCTTCCCCGTCAAAAGAACCAGCAAATACTTCTCGTTGGATCTCACCCACGACGAAGTCCCCGAATTCGTCGTCTGAGCGCCGCGTTGGGCAGGACTGGCTGCCCGCCCTC